TCAACCTTCTTACATTTAAATCTTGACCGAAATTCTCCAGCTTACCATGAACTTTGTCGTGTTTCGGTCCCTTTAGCTCCTACATCAGATAAATCTAGACTACTAATGATGACCTCTTTGCTCCACCTGTGGTGCACTGCCGTCGATTCCAGTCTGTTTACGTCAGTATATGCTCAAATCAACACTCTTTCCCATTTTCCTCCTTCTCAGTGCACAGCCATTCCATTCTCACGCAATTCAATGAATTAAGTTAACACATTGAAAGCTCAAATCAGAATGGAGCTTCAAAGTAAAATTGTCTGTTATTGAGAGATCAACACCAGTTAGCTTTATGTTATTAGGCATACGATATGACTCCATTTTACTCAACAGTTGGATTCTTGGTGAGAGTTCAGTCAAATTCTTTGTCACTTTGGTATTTTGAGTTGATCTGTTACCTAACTTCCTTCGATGCATTTATTCAAGCTCTTGGTGTTCAAGCTGTGCAATTTCCCTTCAGGTAAGTGAATATTTTTGAAATTAACTGGAAAAGAAATCTCCAAATCGGCAATACTCGTTCTCTTAATAGCGAGATGATTCCTAGTTGAAGGTAGCTTTGAGAAAATGTACATCGATTGAGACCTGAAAGTCCTCGCGATATGTGTAAATTCAAGCCAATTTTTTAAGGTTTTTTACCTCCCAAATCTATTTTATTTTTCAGGTCAATACTTAGTATCAATTACTAGGAATTAAAAATAATTTTTACTTTCCTGCCATGTTATTAGGGGAATTTCCATGAAAACAAGGTTGATCATGCAGAACAAAATTACATTTTATATACTTTTGAATGTACTGTTTTATTGAGTATAGCTGCTATGCTCAATTACAATAAGACCATTATTTATTCGTTAATTTCAAAGTTTATTTTGTCATGGTCATAGCATTTGCTATGAGTAAATTTAAAAAAAGTAATTATAAATTATTATCTCGCTTCCATCACTAATGTTTACTGTGAGACCAATTAGGTTAATAGCCTTCCGGATTCCATATAAATCCCAATGAACGAAGAAATGCCAATTTTATTTCATTTTAAAACCGGAAATTTGGAAACTAGGTAATGCTCTCTTGCAAAAAATACAAAATAAAAACATATATGGGAGGTAAAATTGTTAGTAGATATTTATTTAAATATCTCCCTTACTTTTGCATTATTCTTCATCTTACAAAGAGATGACGTGTTAAATAAATACAAAACCACAGTGGACAGAACTGCTATTTGCGTTTGTAAATAATAAAATATATTCAGAATGGTCACTTCCATTATAGAAAGGACAAGAAGACAAAGCGAGAGAGAAGAGACCTTTGTTGAAATTTGGGAGAGTGACAGAGACAAGCGAGGTGATACAGTTGTGATTATTTTGAGGACGAAGGGAGGAATATATAGTGGCTCTTAACGAGGAACTATTTAATCATAACCACGTTGAGGTAATGCCGTGGTTGTCATTAAATAGGCAACTGTTGCAGACCGAATTCTGTCCCATTAAATGGAATGAAAAATTTGTGGTAAAATTGACTCGCCTAAGGAATCTGCATGAAATTAGGTCAGGTGTAAAACTGGATAAACAAAAGATTAAGTAAAGAAGAAGTGAAATCAACTTAGTACTAAGTTGAATACTAATGATTCAAAAGGTTCCTTATTTGAGTGTTTATTAACATAACTTTTGGCTAAGTGAATAGCAACCCTGTGGCCTTCTGGCTTGGAGTTCTATCCAACCTTCAGCAGGTAGGAAAGTCACTTTTCACTTTTTGCGCATAGAAGAAGAGGAATGGCCCCCCTAGCTTTGAAGTTAGAGTCCATCTTCGTATCCGCTACACCACCAGCACATTTAATTCGACATGCTGAAATATTAATTTCATTAATTATCAATTTTAACTTTGTCCAAAAGAGGATAGCCCTACTAGAAGCGCTTCAATATTTTTGATTTGTATTAATCTAATAAACATTAAATTCTCTTTGTAAAAGCTGTGCATTGCATCACTTAAACTAATTTAATTTTGATGGTTTGACAGAACAGCTTTAGTAGTAGGCTTTAAATTCTCTATTGCCTACTAAATAGCTGAAACTAATTTAAAGTTGAAAGAAATTGAACGTTACAATTTTCTGTCTTCATCACATTATTCTAAGAGATGAAATCCCTAAAATCAATTTGGGTCGGTGTTTTTAAGTTCAATAAAGCAAAACTATAATGCATTGCTTTGATTTAAAAGGAGCTTCTCAAATGTATATCCTTCAGAGTTTCTTATTTTGAGCGCCGTCAAGCACCTTAAAGTTGTATAAAATCCACATCTTAGTGAAAAATAGGTAGAGTATGGTAGTGATGCCATCTTACCTCAAATTTATTAAAAGATTATCCCTGCAAGTAGTACTGTCAGAAATAAACTCATTTGATGAAATGTTTCAGATTATTTCTTTCTGAATCCATGTGTATGCTCTCAGTACTTCCATTCGTTGTGCTATGAAGGGTTGTCCTCAACCAATCTCTTCTATAAACTAAATGATAGTGCATTTTTTATTACAAAATTCCAATTGAAGTAGATTTTGCATTCAAAGTAGTAGAGGAAAACGAATGAGTTGGATAATTGCTCATAAGTTGAATGTCTTCAGCGTTTTTGACAGCAGTGTGTATTTCATATTGTGGCATGCCGGTTCAATGCTTGTACTAAACTTCTTAACGCTTGTCAACATTGAGATGTTCTACACGCCCAAACTAATCCCTCCTGAACTGTTACTCTTTATATTTTT